TCTTGTTGTTATATCTTTTGTGCTAGCATTTGCTCAAATTCGCTTCTATTTAGCTTGATTTTCGTAGTGCTTTGTTAATAGCCAATTTTTTAAAATGCCCTTCCAGTTTAAGAAAGGTCAACCTTTAAAGTCTCAGTCACGTCAAATCGTATATAATGTCGCAGAATTTTGCGCTTCTGAAGCTTCGGCGAACCCTTTAGTAGTTCCTCTTCCTTAAGTTTTGGTGTTGGTGTATTCAATTATGGCAAAGCTCACTAGGGCTATCTGCCTAAGGGGAGGGATGTCTTCGTGGAGGACTTTCTAAGGGAAACTGGCTCGTATCCACGTTACACATGGGAAAAACCACGAAAACACCCATGCAGCCAGCTCATTCGCGGGATTCGAACCTCGGACCGAACTACCAGTGTTCAGCGACTTCCGCTCGGCCGCTGGTGGGCTACCTTAAGTTTTGAAGAGCGAAGTATCAACAATGGGTGAAAATAAACTTCTGAATACACTTGGAAAGAAATGTAAAAGCCCTGCTAATCATAAGTGTGAAATTGACAATTTTGACAAATGCGTTCGTTCTACGACAGACAATACATTGACTTTTACATCAAAGAAAAGAAAGTGCCATCTGTGCGGAAATTACTGCCTGTCATGAGGCAAAAAATAGACTTCCCGTGGCAAAAAGACTCTTTGTGCAAAGTTTTGTGTTCAATGAATTTTCGTTGGAATGCGTAGAGAAAAAAAAAAAAAAAAAAATTCTTATCGAAAGACCTCACATTGTATTTTGGAGGAACAATTATTTATGAGAAATGAGAAAACTCAGAGCAAGTGAACGCCACATCGTTTACATCGATGAAACATGGATTGACAGCAATTTAACTTTTAAGAAATGTTGGCAACATGATACGGTTTTGGGGCGCAACAGCCAGTTTCCCTTAGCAAGCCCAGCCCCTCCATGAAGGCATCCCTCCTCTTAGGCATTTAACCCTGGAGGCTTCCGTAATCATATAAACCAAACCCAAACCACTGGTAATTAAGGAAAAAGCAGTTTTGATTTTAATTCACCTTCGCTTCCTTCCGCCATTAAATTAACTAGCTTTTGGTTTAGTTTAAAGGTATGGGAATAGAAGAAATGTTCGCAAAAAGTATTTATTGAGAGGCATGGGTATGTAAAAAAAACACTTTACTTTCAAGATGATTCCATATACATTTAATGATGAAATTTTTAGTCATTATTAAAGCACAAGCAATAAATTAACAGAAAATTTTGAAATAAAAACATAGCAGAACGTCATTTAAAGACTGAAGAAATTGCTTTGAATGTTCAGGTAGATCAGCTAGAGGGGAGAACTATAAAAATTAAATTTATTTTATATTTATGAAGTACGTCTATACTATATTACAGAGAATGGGGCAATCAAGTAGATTTCTAAGATGTCATCTATGATTTTGCAAAGCAAACAAATAAACAAAAAAGAAGCAAAAATAATAGCATGATTTTTTTAAAATGTCAAAATTAAAATTTTTCTTCAAAAATAAACAAACCGGATTTTTAAAATTTATTTCCCTACAAGTTTATTTTTTACTCATTGTACATCTAGAGGGATGGCAAATTCAGCGACTTGTACCTCACACGGCAAAATCAAAGACCGTTTCTTGACTGCAAAAGCTTTATCTACGCCAACGAATTTCCATTTTCGGAAATAGGATGTCGGGGTCGACGCAAAGGGTCAACAAGCATTTTACTTGAAACTAAAACAAAATGTGAATATCGCCAAATCATCTTTAAATGCGCCAAGGTGGCAAACTCAGAAGTAAGTCTTCAAGACACCCCTACGAAAAATGGGTTAGGGCTCGTTTCTACGGCAACAGACAGCTGCAGACAAACAGGCGAGAGCTGCTCTTACCATAGACAGACAGTAGTCTTCCATATTTTTTGGCCTGTGTTTATTAATACACCATAATATTCCTATCGTCAATCACTTTACAACTTGTTCTAGTGATTATATCTTATAAAATTTAGGCCCTGATGATATTACTAGCATCATAAATGTCGGACAATGCACCAGTCAATCAACCGAAAGTAATTAGCTTATCCCTTGATACAATGAGAAGGGTACTCTGCGTTAATCTCGAGTCACTCGTATGCTCACCGCCATCCTACTGGGAGTTCGCAGTAGCATGTTATGTAGAATTATTATAGTGATTATATTAATTTAGAGTGAATAAGGAAATTGTAATGTTCTTATCTGAGCATTAATTTTTAATATTTTGTATTGGTTAAACTTTTTGCATTTGTTTGTGGTGCGGCTCTTATTTAGCGGAAAATTCTTGTACAGTTGAAAAGGCGCAGCTATTTCCGTTCTCACGAAGCGGCTTCTTTGGGGGTCAGGGGTCGGCGGCCAGCTGCTTTTCCCTCTTCTTATCTTTCCGGGTTGAAAACGTGTTTTGTTCGTTCAGAGGCGAATAGTTCTAACGGGCGGCGATATTTGACAGAGTTATGGGCTGAAAAATATCTTTCTGGTTTGGGCACTAAAGGTTATGTCATCTTAATAGAGGGTTCTAATTTCTTCGAATTTTGGTTGTTGTTTATTACCTCTGTTCTGGTTGGCTAGAGAGAGTTCAAGTTTTGTTTAGGATTGGTTAATTTTAGTTTTATTGATATTTTGAGCCAATTGTGAAATTAGACGTGGTACGTTTTGAGCTTCACCGACTTTTCAAAAGTTGTTGCACAAGAGATTTTGTCACATTTTTTGTTTAGCAGATTTTCGAGACTTCTTCAATTTTTTCGAAGAGGAAGGAACATAGTTAGCCCAGCGGCCCCTCTGGGTCGACCGCACTTTGCAGTTAAAAATTATTACCGATATACAGTGCTATTGCACATTGACACTGAAATATGTCTTTACTGGCAAGTAAAAAAACTATGCACAGGCATTTTGCTAGTACTTAATCTGTTGCAAGAGGGATGGTTTTTCACTTTTTATGGATGCCATTTACATACACTAAAGACAAGACGATTAACTGTCAGAGTTTGGGAGGGGAAGAATCATTGGATTGATGGAAGCCAGGTGGTCAGCTCAACAAGTAATCTATCACCCAAGTCATTCTGACTTGTGACAAGGTGTTGGGACCAGTAGACAACAGATAGGTCCTATATGCGGTGGCCAGGCTCGCAGTGGCATTATGCTCGATGAGATTGGACCATAACCAAATGAAACCAGGTCATCTTAAGAGAGTTCACATGCATGGCAAGGCAGGCTCAGTATGCACTCGGAAGATCAACAGATGACAGAACCATTATACACACACAGCACCAACTGCATCATTGTCTACCATGTGAACACAGGCAGTTCTTTCAATATGGGCCTATGTGGGGTCTCTCTGTACCTCCAAAAAGGCTTATCTTCATTCATCATATATATATATATATATATATATTCATATCATCTATTGGTCATCAGGCATGTGCTGGCAACAACATTCACCCACTGTCACCTTAGTTTGGAGTGGCATCCCGTTTAATGTATTATATGGTATGTAATGGAAACAGGTCCTCTTCAGTAAATAAACGACATTCACTTTAGGCAGTAATGACACTTATGTACATGAGAGGAGACCTCAGAGTGAAAACCCCAGCTTTACGGAAGTACATGACTCCCATGGCTAGTATAACGATAGGGTATTACAATTACATACAACATTTGATCATCTATAATATTAATCCACTGTACCACGACAACCCAACAGTATATTTGTGACATTCTTCAGCTACATATGTTGCCACACACAGCAGGGCTTCAAGGAACCATGTTTCAACATGACAGTTCTAGGTCACACATGGCAAGGGTATCACAGAAATGCTTCTGCAACATTATCACCCTTCCCTAGCCTGCCCAATTCCAAAGTTTTTTCCCGATCTAGTTTGGTTAGAATCGCCTATGAAACAAGTTGTGCTGTCGAGAGTTTGGTCAAACTTGAGGCATACTTACAACTGTGGACTGAGATGTCACAGAACAGCATATAAAGCCTGTATGCCTCAATGCCCACTCATATCTCACTTACAATAGAGTTGGTCCAACAGGGTACTAGAACTCTCATTCATTTATAGTTTTTCTTGTAATAAATGATCCTTTTACTTTGATTTTGGAATGAATTATACCAATGCATGTATAAAATTTTGTTAGATTCTGCAAGCTTTTTCTTAGTACACAAAGTTTTATGGTAATGAATATGTTTGACCTTTGAGGAGGAGCTCAGGCATTACAAGGCAGAATGCAAAATACAATGAACAGAAAACAGGGGAAAGAGCAATCAGTATGCCATGGGTTTATGCAAGTATATAGGTTTACTTTTGCCAAAAACTGGAAGATTTGCAAAACACTGAATAGACACATGCGGTATTTCAGTTAGCACTGAACAGATTGCAAACAAGGATATGTTGTTTTATGCATTTGTGTACTGAAAAGATATGGCATTCAGTTCTTGCATCTACCATTATAGCTTTTGTCCACTCCTACTGTAATTTAATAAATCTGTTAGTTAATTGTACATCTGCCTACTGAAACGTGATAATAAAATGGTATGATATTTTCAAATTAGAGCTTGATAACTTCTGAATTGCACTGTCACAACTTCAAATAGAAATCACTAATCCTTTTTTCCTAAAACGAAATGTGATATCAGAAAACATTGGCTGATTTTAATAACTGCTTTTTTTTAATGGCGAACTCCAGATTTTACCCTGCACTATGCATAGATACTTAAATGCATTCATAAGATTTGAAATAGTTTCATTAGAAAGCATTCATTGTCATAAGTTTACATTTTGCTTCCATTATTAAAAATCTTGTCATCAATAAATGACTTTTATTATTTTTTTTTCAAACTTACTATGGTAAAACCAAGAATATTATAATTGTAACATGCGATATACTGTAAAATGTCAAAAGATTTAAATAATATTTCCTATGTCAGTGGTTATCCAAATTTCTTCAACAAAACATTTAAACAACTTATAAAAAGTTCTTTTAATAATTCGAAACATATAAAATCAAAATCAAACAGAACAGAGCAAAAGGTTGTTTCAAAAAAGTCATATACAGATTTTAAAAAACATGCATGTACATCAAAAATCACATTTGAATAAATAACTTTCAAGACACAAATTTTCAAGTACTTTTACAACTGTAAGTATGCAGTAAAAAGCAGGTACAAAAATAGCAATTTATGAAGGTTTGCTTTAAAAAGTCAATTGCAATATTATTATCCCCACACTAAAAGATATTGTAACTATATTTTATAGGCAACAGTTCGTCAACAGGCAACTAAAAAAAACGATGGAATGAAAAAACTTCAAAAAGTCAGATAACGTATTTTCTCAGGGAACAGTTATAAGACATCAGCACCAATAAAAAGTATAAGTAAGTATACAAAAGTAAACAAATAAAAATTTACATTTTTACTCAAATAAATGAAATTTAGGACAGAAATTGTGTTTATAAAACACAGTTTAGAATACTCAGACTTATTTAATTTTATTTAAATTTTTGAAATTGATGAATTTTGCAAAACAAAAAATTGAAATATTTTATCTTGAAAGAACTAACTGAAAAATCTTACTCCTTAATTTAACATATTGATTTTAATTTTATTTCATCTGTTTTAGAACTATGATTACAATTTAACTAGCCTGGAGATAAACAACTAAAAAATACACTATAATGTACAATTAAAAAAATATGTAGCAGACCCATCAATAACTCAGTAGGGAAAAAAAACAGCAGTTTATGACTTTTTTCTGGGCTCCACAAGCTTGGGAAATGTCTGACCAACGATTGCACTCCCCTCCATTGTGTTCTGTGTTCATACTTGAAAGTCAATAACAGATGACTAGTCTTTCAAACCACTTTTTTTTTCTTTTTTTGGGCAATTCTTGGGGTGGTGTACCTTTGGCTGGAAACCAGCACACTGAGATAATACTATAGATACTACTTATATGAATGCTAAAGAATTTATAAGAAGTTTTAAACAAAAAGTATTAATAACAATTTGTTACTAATATATAATATGTTATGAATTCAAATTCAAAAAGAAAATTTTCCTATACTGAAACCCAATTCCATTTGCTCAGCTCAGAAGAGTTCACTAGTTTGCTGTTCTCAAGAGTCTGAAACCTGAGATGCATACTTTTTAATCATGAACACCTACTCTATAAGTTAGTTAATTTTTTATTTCTATTTTTATTGTCTTAGAAAGTAATATCCCAAACTTGTACAAGTAATAAAAATTGCATCTTTTAATATTTAATAAAATATACTCATCTTAACAGCATTAATATCATTACTTTACTAAACATTCTTTTAATTTATGACACTTACTATTATTTTACTATTTACGTAGTTGAATTCAAAATAAGAAACAAAGAGACATTAAACAGATATTGTTAATCAGCCTTTTTTTCCCCCTTTTTCTCCTGAGAAACTGAAAATAGAGAAAAGAAACACATTTCTCATTTGACAGCTAACACTGTGAAATTTTTTATGTGTGCTTTAAAACTATTATGCTCATTCATGCTAAAATTTTCATTCAAAGTTTACAATATCATAAGAAATTGCCAAAAAAATGGAAGGGAAGTAAAGTTAAAAAAAAAACGAGAATGTATACTGGAAAATTTACGTTGAAATATTACTCATTTATACAATAATTCCTTTTGCTAGTACCATTGATACATTTGCCTGTAAATCTTCATATAATTGTAAGTCTTTAGATCCTATATATTTGCACAAAAATATTCAGCTTAAGATGCCCTATATGATGATTGTCAAAAAAATTCCAAAATTATGCTATAAGTATATCTCATTCCCAAAAATATGATTTCGCATGTATGACATATGTAAACATTTTCTTTGAATTCGGTTAACATATTTTTGGATTTATTATGGTTTTATATAAGAAATATAACATAATGCTATACATAACATACAATTCTATAAAGCATCTAATAATCATTTTACATGTGTAGATCACAAGTGCATAAAGTTACAGGATTTAAAATTAAGTAAAAAAAACAAACGTCAGCATGAGATAATATACAAAGTAAAGATATCTGTTTTTCAGCTTTCTCCTAATACCATATCAAATAAAAGTTTATTCTTATACTGACAATGCAAGGCATCACTGAACCGCAGATAAATTTGGACAAAAAGGATCAAGGCTTCCTGAAAAATACGAAATAATTTGTTTGTTGTTGTTTATTAATTTGTTAACTTATTCAGCAACAATAATACATTTCAATTTTTAAACATAATTAAAAGAACATAGAAACCAAAAATACAGCAAAATAATCAAGTGTGGTTTTTAACAAACAAAAAAACAAATAAACAAGTTAGAAAACACGAAAAATATTACAGTAAACTAAAGTATACTGCCCTCCAAAAGTTAAGGAACAGCATGTTTTTGTGTCTAACTTGAGAATGAATCAATATAGAAACAAGAAATTTAGAGGACATGTTCACTGAACAATTCTTTAATGAATGCAACACAATGTTTCTAAAGTTCAACACAAACATGAATTACAATAAAAAATTGCACTCTTGGCACAGAAATCCAGTCTTGGAGAAACAGTATGTTAGTTTTTTTTAGGAAGAATGGAGTAGTAATATTACAAAAATGGGTTCTAATAAGGAATGTGTCCATCCCTAGCTGCAATACATTGATGGCTGTGACGTTCCATGCTCAATTAAGTTACCAATCAGTGATATGGGAAGCAACCAGATATGGAGTGATCCTTGTTCAAGATCATCTAATGACCTTGGAGGAGGACCTTAACCCATTGAGGACCACCGTCATGTATACTCGATGCAACAATTTCCCTCCTACCAGCCCAACATCCCGTATACACGATGCAATGATTCTGCTCCTACGAGCCCGGCGTTGTGTATACGCGACATTAAAATGGAACGATTTATTTGAATTGTTAAAAGCCAGTAAATGGAGCTAAGTGGTAACTGTTTTCACATAGGTTGATGCATACAGCATTTGACCTTCATGTACTGGCATTAGTTTCTGTTTTGTGTTTCTGGTTTTGTTTATTGAAATAAACGAACAGGAAAATTACGACTCTTTATAAGTACGCCTGTGAATTAAAGAGGGACAGGCGTTTTTGTTTATTTTGTTAGGATTTCCTTTTTTTTTTTTTTTTTTTTTTTTTTTCCTTCTATTTATTTTGAAACTCAACATATGCTTTCTTGGTTAGTTAAAAAGTAACATGACAATATTATTAAAGAAGGGGAAAGACTATCAGCTTTCTCGCTTCGTGACGCGTCTTGCTCACATTTCTCAAGAAAGAGCTAGTGTTTTTGTTTCTTTTTTCTTACTTGATTTAATAGGTCATTATATATAATGGCACAGGCATTATATTTTGGTATACAATTTACTTTACATAAGATGTATGGATTGACGTGATCAGTAACGAATATCCTGCCAGTGGGGGTTTTTCCTTGATAACTTTCCAGTCATCGTGGATGCTGTTTTTGATTTAGAAAAACAGGAAGTTTTCTAATATAAACCTGATGTCACACAGGGTTTGAGGATGAAATATTTCTGAGTGTCTTTTGAAGAAGTTTTCGGACGTGTGTTGGGGTTATACTCAGTTTCATTCCAATTGCCATGGCTAAGAGACCTTACTTAAAAACTTAAAAATTTGTTCAAAATCACTGGACACTCCACCTTTCTGTCTAACTAGAAGATAGTTTCCAAAAATTTACGTTGAAGGAAAAGGTAATAAAAGGAGAAGATGCATTGTGTCTGCTAAAACCAAGAAAAAGCGAAAGCAAACAATGTATTTTGAGTGCAAAATATACAATGTAGGACTGTGTGTCGATCCTTGTTTTGAATTATTTCACCCACAGCAGAATTTTTAAATTGGAATTTAATTACATACAGCTAGTTCTTGTTTAGTTTTTTTTTTTTTTTTTTTTTTTTTTTTTTTTTTTGTTATTTGTATTTATTTCTTATTTCTTATTTTTTTCTTATTTTTTTTTCATGTTTATAGTACTTATTTCTGTGTATATAGTAATGATTTTAGTATTTTGCCTGTTTAATTTATTCCTATTAATGTGATATTCTTTATATTGATACACATTAAAACCAAGTACATTAAATATGCAACTTCAAAAATTGAAGTCATAATATCAAAATGCTGATTTGATATGATTTTTTTTTTTTTTTTTTTTGTAAAATTAGGCTTAACCCCTTCGCGCCGGGTAACGCAAACGTGCGGAGGCCAGCAGTGTCTTACGCAAGCGTCTGTCCAGGGCCGGGGGTTTTTTTGCTACTAAGCCTAAATCCATGAAATTTCTGAAGTATCAACGCATTGTTTAATAATGCCCTATAGAGTATTTAAACGGCTTATGCTTTTAATTACCTTATTTCTTGATTAAATGCATATTTTACACATTTTATGACTTTTAACATAATACATCTGAAAACTAAATATATTACTTAAAATTCTCTTTTCATATGAAAAATTTGAAAACAGAGATCTACACACAGTCCTACGTTACATTCCTTGCACTCGTAATAACTCATTTGCCGTTTTGGAGGATTTTTCCGGGAATGTGAACAACGGAGCGTCGTGGTCTCATTTTCTTATCAGTCTCTTCTGAACAAAGTTTTGGAAAATGTGACAGTGATACTATGTAACGTAGTATCCAAGTGATACTATGTTACATAGTATGACTATCGCTACTATCAGAATCTGTTTCAGAATCAATATCTGAAATATTTTGCATCATTTCTGCTATTTCATGCTCTGTTAAACATTTTCGACGCTTTGACATTGCAACGGCAAAAACAGAAAGAATTCACGTCTAACAAGATCTAATTATTTTCTAAATACTGAACTGCAAACCAAAATACCCAATGCTTTAGCAAAAATAAAACTTCTCTGCTTACAATAAACAACTACCACATGCAAATTTAAAGAGACATCATAAAGCACACCATTCGGAAAGATTTATTTCCCCTTTTGTTTATATAATCAAAAACACGTGTATGTGAGTCATGCTTCTCTCATTTAAAGTAGTAGAAGGTCTAATGTACATGTATCTGAAACCATATGGACATACAGTGCCATCTTGTGGCAGAAATTATAGTTTTTAAAACATTCCAGGACAATGGCACAAATACGTGACAGTCAGAGCTGAACGAGAAAATGCTCTGGCATGCCTGCGTGTTGGCCAGGAAGTGAGTGTGTTCGTTGCTGGCACGTAGACGTGACAGTCGGCGCAAAGGGGTTAACTGCTGAAAATGCGCAGGCTGATGGCTACGATCCATTTCAACGGGCCTGGTCCTGTAACCAGCTTCGTTCTCCCGGCACTAGTCCTTAAGGGGTTAAAGCAGCAACCTGTCTCCCAAGGTAGTCCCAAAGATGCTCTATCAGATTCACGTTTCAGAACTGAGCTGGCCATTCCATCCGCTCCATGCCATGACCCTCAAGATATTCTTCAGCAACCCGAGCTCGATGCTTTTGCGCATTGTCATCCATCAGAAGAAATCAAGGACCAATATTAATGGCATATGGATGGAAATATTGATCAAGGATCTCATCTTGATATCTCACACTGGTCAAAGTTCCTCCATGAAAAACATGTAGGTCAGTGTGACCACCGAGAGATCCCTGCCCAAACCATTATTCCACCTAACTGTGTCTTTCCACAATGTGGGATTGGTTGTATCTGGTGTGTTGTTCCTCCAGATCAGCTGACAGCCTGAATCACTCTCTAATGTAAACCTGGACTCGTCTGTGAAGAGAACAAGTGCCCAGGTGGCTAGTCCAGGTGACGTTTCTCTTGTCCAACATAAACGGCACCTCTGTGTCTTCAGGTCAAGGGGACACAAACAACTGGTCCTCTTTCATACAGACCTGTATTGTGCAGGCTTTTGCACACTGTAGTAGCCAAGATTCCTGTTTCTGTCGCCACTAAATGATATGTCATCAGTTGAGGCACAGTAACGTTACTTTTCCTTCCGGCCGAAAGAGCTACATAATGGTCTCGTGCAGGTGTTGTACTAACTCTAGGTCTGCCTAAAACATGTCTTCTAGACACAGAATCCTCAGATTCAAACTGATTCTATAGTTGGTAGACCACACTACAAGAGACATTGAGACGTGTAGCAACAGCAGCTTGTGACATCCCCATTTCCATCCATCCGATCGCCTGCTACTTCAACGAATCAGATGAATGACTTCTCCTTGACATTGATAGACTCTCCTGGATATTATCCACGAAATGGTAATAACAACTGAAAACCAACACTTGTGAACAAAAATTACAATTTTTGCATTTTTTCTCCAAATCCTATATAAGTATTCATTTCTATAAAATAAAAGTGGTAGCTATTGTTTTTGCATATCTTTTCTTAAATTTCGTTACTGTTATGCATATGAACTGTGAATTTAAATGTTAGTGACCTTTTTGTAATGATGAGATTGGAAAAACATGCTGTTCCTTAACATTTGGAGGGCACTGTATATGAAAACAAAGCATTTTAGTATGTTATATACATGGTATATCTTAATAAAGTGGGTGCCGCTTAATGCGATTATGTTTCTCCTCAGATATTTTAATAACATTAAACGATAAGAAAAATACCTCTTAAGGAAAGCAATGGAATTTAATTAATACAATTAAAAACATACAAATAGGTACTTTCACATTTTAGCTAAGAAAATGGATATTTTTGATAAACAAATGAATTAATTTTTTATTGTCTTTCAAGGTCATTTATGAACTGTCATCTCTAATTACTTTTGCATTAAAGGATTAGGTTTCTACATAACATGTTAGCAAGAGATATGTTCATAACTTTTCCAGAATATATTTGAATGATGCTGTACCCCTAAGCTTAATACATGGAGGACATCCCTCACTGGGAGAGAACTTGTCAGAGTAAAGTTTATAATTAAGCAAAAAGGCAATCTTGGTTTGGCATAGATGTTCCCAGATAAATTTTATTTCAAATGGGGGGAATCTAAAAAATTCCTCACATTTACTTATTTTTTTAATTTCTGAAAAAGAGAAATGTTCTCAACACTGATGATCTTAAAAGTTATGACCTATGATAATTCTCAAAACTGATAGTTACTAAAATCTATATCAAACTAGGTTATTTTTCTGTCTAATTTAAAATAAATAATTAAAATTGAAACCAAGTTGTTTGGTGACTTAATCCCTTACTTGGCAGTTTTTATTATCAATTTTGAACTTACTTGGTGACTACTATTTAAAGAATTTGGTCTATAATATTTTTATCATATTAATGGAACTGTTGATCACAACAAATAATATATTTTCCACGTTCTTGTGTATAAATGGACAATTGGATTGCAATTTCGAATTGATAACATTAACTGTGATCACATCAGGCAGTGTCTACAGCATTTGACTGGAAGACAACAAGCCTACTTCTTCACTTCAATAAAAATTTAGACCAGGCTTATCTAATTATTATCCTCTGACTATCTTTTTTCCTAATGCTTTTGTTTTTATTCTACTTACGCGAAAAATAAAAACTATCTGGATATTTCATAATGTCTAATTTTAAAAAACTAATATACATCTTCTAGATGCTTCTGAAAGAAACAAATATGCCCAGAAAAAATCTTTGAACAGTGTAAAAAAACATAGATGAATAAGTCATACAGAAAATTACATATAACTCTAGTTATGCATTGCATTAGCGAATTATTTTAAAATTAGCATGAATAGATCTAAATCAGGATGTAACAAAACGAAATATGAGAAATGCATGAATGTTGCTTCTCTGTATTACTTTATTTTGCTACACAAAAATTTTCTGATATTACAGAGACTGTCTTAGAATATTAAGAATCCTTTTTTCAAGCCATTGTGGTTTCAGTTTCCTTCATACTTTTACCCTGACCCTAAGATCTGAAAAGTTAAAAACTTCATGCCAATCATTTTGCTTATAAATGCACTTGAAAAATCCATAATATTTTACGAAATAAGAGTTCAAAATTAGTGTAATTTATTATAAATAAAGAATTAAATTCACACAAAGCAAGCTGGAGGCATTACCAGCCGAAGTCTCAGATGCTTACAGAACAAGATTTGACAGCCTAAATTCCAAATCGTTTGCTTACAGAGAATCATAACAACAAATAATTGCAATGCAGAGTGCTTACACATTTCATTATATTTTCAAAACCTGCTTCACTAATTTCAAAACTCAATTTTTATACAAATTTGGCAGTATTCAAAAACTTCTAAAACTAAAGTAACATTTTAGGAGCATTTCAATAGTCCTTTTTTAAAGCCTAGACATTCTATGAGTACATATGTATGTAATTTCAAAAACTATACATTGAACCATACCTAAGGAAAAGTTAGAAACATTTTACGGTTAAGTCAATGGTTATAAACATTTTAATTATTCACTACACATGAAAAGTCCTTTTACATTCAACTCTGTAAGCATTTAAAAAAAAAAAAAAAAACTTTTTAATGGCCTTACCTTCAAAAACATCTGAGACTTCAGTCAACAAAATAAGAATACTTTCATTCTTATCTAGGGCTAAAAAGTTTTAAAAATTCATTAAAATTCATAACTTTACAATTATCCATATTAATCAGTGCCATCTTAACGCATGGGCCCGCTGGGCACTTATTCATGAGACCCCAGAGAACAGGGCCCCATGCTAATCTAGGTTGAACTGCCATTAATAGTTGAGTGACTGTTGTAGGGGCTCCAACACACTGGTTTGCCCAAGGGACCATAATGCTGTTAAGACAGCACTGTAGATAGTATACTAATTACATTTCTGTATGGAGTTTGCAGTTATTAGGATGAAATTGATAAACAAAAGGAAGATAACAGTTTTCCAGATAATTAAAAATTAAATCTCAACACCAATGTAATGTTAGATGTAAAAGCTACAATTAAACACATAAAAATACACAATACTGGAATTAAATTAGGTAAGTAATAAGAAACCATCAGCATATGATTACCAGTTCAGCTCAAACCTATTCATCTACAAGGTGCACAGAACAGCTCTACACTTTTCACAAACACATACCAAAAAAAGAAAGTTACTATAGGAAGATGGAGTTTCCACCAAAACTGCTTTCACAGATTCATATTTTTCCCCGGTAGATCTCACCAATTAAAAAAAAAAAGTTATTTTAAGTTGAATTGGTTGATGAGGCATTATTAGTAAAACTGTTTTACCTAAATGGGGAATCGGATGTTTCACATCTTTGCAACAGTTTTACACACAGAACCAGAAAACACATGCTGAGGTCTAATGACTGGAATACCTATGAAAATTCTTCATACAATGTTTTCAGGAACCTGGCAGTTTGACCAATCAAGTTTGCATTGGCAGACTGTTTTTAATCAGTTTCCACAGAATACAGGTGAAGACCAACAGCAAAATCAGCAAGTGTTAATGGCAGTGCTTGGGAAATTGCAAGAATCACCTTATGGATCCTGCATGGTGTATTGCTATAATATACTTACAAGCTGCAACCAATTTATATACATAATGGAAGAAATTTGCCACATACACATTGACAAAAGCTGCTGATGATCTACAATGGATTCTAAACATCCTTTGGACAAATGAAGTACATTTTTCATTTCATGGAAGTGCTCATACCTATAACTGTTGAATATTGGTAAAGAATAATGTTAGGCCTAAGCAGAGGAGATATTACATTCCTATGTCTCACTGTGTGGTGTTACTTCATGCCATCTATCATCACTAGCCTAATGTGGCTGGGAAATGTGCTCTATAACAGAACAAAATTTCATAGACTCTAACAACGTTTATGTAAGATGGCACACTCCCGTTTCATAGCTGCTGCAGTTCCTCAAAGAATTTAGCCCCAAATGACTGATTAGTCACTCACTACATAGCCTCCTCAATCACCAGATTTGATGTCCATGAATTTTTATTTGTGGCACTATCTGAAACCATAAGCATACACCATCGTCCTCAACACAATTAAAAGATGCTATCCTCGGAAATCATTTATATAGAACCAGATATGCTTAACAAATTCATGAACAATGCAATCACATTGTGGCAGATTTCTAGTTACCTGATTAGGCAAATCAACTCGAGGGTTGGCTGCTTATGGGGTGATGCCTTCATGGAGGACTTTTTATGGGAACTACCTCATACCCAAGTTATACATGGGAAAAAACCATGAAAACCAACCATGCAGCCAGCCCATTTGCCAGGATTCAATCCTAAGTCGAACTACCAGTGTTCAGTGATCTTACTGCTCGGCTGGGCATTGGCAGAATGCAATTTCCTAGAAGAACACATTGAATTTTTGCTGGTGTAAAATACCATGTAATGAAGCAATGATAGAACATTCCAGCAATATTTCTTTCATTAAATGTCATACCAAGAGTACAGTGTCAATGCAGCACCATCTATCACTAAAATTTTGAATTAAAATTTTTTCTGCAGCCAAAAGCCATCTGAATTTTCTGAATTTTCATCATTTTCTGAAGCCATCTGAATTCACAGAACGAATTCTGGTACAAATCACATACTCATACAACTCATTCATACTTTATGAAATTTAGAAGTCTTGTGAAATTTAGTATTCATAAAATTAGACAATAAATAAAAAGATGTATATGAGCTAAATCCAATTATTTATAAAAGAAATTACATTGAAGCTGACATCTGTAACTCAGACAAGCCATTTGCATGGATCTTTAATGGTCAATGATTAAATACTCTCTCAAGGATCTCCAAAATTTGAAATAATAATTGTTCAGCAAAAAAAAATTTAATTTACTTAAGATTATTACACTTTTTTAATGGAATCAGATCAAGGTAATCAAACAAATTGGACTCCAATTTTTGGACTCAGAAGAAAATATTTATTTTATTTGATGAATAAAATTTGACTGAGTCACTGAAGACAGAAGCTTTCAAATAAATTAAAGCACTCTTAATAATTAAAACTCTTAAAATTCCCGGTAGTTACTTCCCTATTCACAGAAAACTCTTAGCTTCTCAGAATATACTAAAATATTCCTCACTTAAAAGTGGCTTTAATTAAATCAAATTTAAGAATCCAATTACATTCAGTAGCATATATACAATTATATCATTCACACTTTAATATTAATTTATGAATTCATAATAAAAACATTCTATGCCATAGCAGCATTAAGATTCAACAAATAAACCAAAATGTCCATTATAACTTGAATTTCAGAGCAAAAGAAAAATATACCTACTTACTGGAACATAGTTCTCACAACCATAATCAAAAAGTCTTCATAAGAAATTTGAATAACTCCAGTCTGTTGTGTATCACGAGCTCTAAACGCAGCTGTTAAAGACTAAAGAAAAGAAAACCTCTCTAAAAAAATTGCCATATACAACAAAAATTTCAAAGTACAATATACAGTAAACCCTCATTAACATGAATCCCAAGTGACTAAAATAGCAAGAATTTGTGTTAACGGAAGACTAAAATTTTATTTTTGGAATAGCTTTTTTTTTTTTTTTTTTTTTTTTTTTTTTTTTTTTCTCTATTCACTAATCATTTAGAGTAGATAGGTACATACGTACTACAGTATATTTCTGTATGCCCTTAAGGAAAACACTATTGTAATACATAAATTATTGTACTGTAATTTGAAAAAATTTACTCACACATTTTCTGGTGAAAAATTCCTGTATATTATGTTGTCACAAACAGATGCAATGATGCATGGTAACTTCACACCCAACTGTGCTCATGGCTTCTATGAAACTAGCATTCAATTTGGATACTGCTTAATAAATGTTATACAGTCAAAAGTCGTTAATTCGGACACCCATAATTCGGAATGATCTATAATCCGGACCTCAAAACTAAAAACTTTCTGCGCATGCGCCGCGCTAACACATGCGCATAGGCGTTTACGCGTGCGCGTAAGACATTTTACGACTGCGCATATGAGTGTGCGCAAGTGCAGAATACGTTTTCGCGTGCGCGTTTTATGTATAATAGATGTATAAGCTAAAATTATCTAATTATCTATTTCAGTTAATGTTGATGATTGCGTTGTTCCTTAATTTTCGAATTGGATCCGGCTTATTATTTTTTGCAGACTGTAAGAGCAATTTTATAAAAGTAAGCTTAAACTTTCGATTATATCAAATAGAATTTCCGATATATATTTGTTAATATGTAAAGGATCTAAAGCGAAAGTATGTTTTGAAATCCGAAATCTGTTTATCAATTTCACGCTGCTCGGCGGGGGGAACGCAGCGGCGGGCGCATAATGAATTGGAAGTTGATTTGTCAGCACTATCCTTATCTTCAGCGCAGATGTTTTTATTTTATTTGGCTTATAATTCCTTACCAAATGTAGTATTTCATCTCGATATGCTCCATCTTTGATATGATTTAAAACAAGTTTCTCGTCATTATAATTCGCTTCCCATAGCGAAGAAAAGTAACAGAGGTTATTGAAAACGAAAAAATTTCGATTGACAAATTAGTCGGTATTCTGGACACAGCAATTATAGGACTTGAACAGCGGAACTTTGTAACTGAACAAGAAATTATGTTTGTTTAATAGAATTAAAGAGAAAGTATTATCACATGAAACGAAGCAAAACTTAAACAACTTACATTGAAAGAAATGTTTAATAAAGTAAACAAATAAATATTAAGCTTTTTCTTTTTGCAAATTTTGATACCCTTTAGATCATAATTGTTCTTTATTTCATAAATTACGGTTTCATATTTTTAATTTTAGAATTTCTGCATGCCATCTTACGAGATTTAAACTGATGATCTATAATCCGGAAAAATCGATAATCCGGAATCGCCGAAGTCCCGACGAGTCCGGATTAATGACTTTTGACTGTAAAATGACCAAGGCATGTAACACTTCCTGACAGGTAGGCGGAATGATTTTCTTCTGATGACATGTCTAACACTTCAGACGCAACTGCTTTTACATTAGATTCCATTGGACAACCTCATTATCTGCACTAACTCCTCAAAACTAACACCAGAGTATGCAGTGTCTTGTAGAATTTTCTATTCATTATGAGGTGATATGTTATCATTGTCACTACCTAATTTGTGAACACGATTAGTCATAATATCTCCAGGCTTGCTAAAATAGTTGTGTGTGTGTGCTACGATGACACATATTTCCAGTATGCAGCAACAGCTTTTATTGCATCAAGTGCACTCAAAATTGGCATTTCCATTTTCTTATCAGCAGTGCAAATTGCAAATCTTACAAGTCACTTGCAATAAGACCTCTTCATAACAGCAACACTGCCTTAATCCAAAGATTGAAGGAGACTTCTGACTTCTTGTATTTAGAGGGAAAGTGAACCTTTACAATAGTTAAGTTCAGGAAATATATGTTATGGGGGTATACATCTGTTCAACATATGAACATACCTATTCTGAGCCACTATTTGACTATTAAAATGAAGAAGTGACATACTAAATGATGAGTTGTCGATCTAAGCTTTCTTATGGTGAGGTAGATGCAACATAAAGTACCGTTTATGTTCTTAAAATGACATAGTCTCTCAGATTTACCAATCACGCAAGGACAGTATTCCTCACTGACCTCTGCACTACATACAAGGACAACTGTTAAATGTTTACTGTGGCCCTGTGATAGCACCTTTTACTCCAAGAATACGACATAGAGAAAGATTATAAAGAAGTCCAGTTTTTTCCACAGCGAGAACATTATACAATACACACTTTTCTCTCATTACTCAAATTCACACAACCAGTTGCTTGCTCCTTCTTCATGAACTTTGTTTCACTACAAATCACTAATGATGAAACTGAGTGCTTCTTTTGTAACCAGTACAAACAATCTAGCAGAACAACTCAAATCTTGAATGGCTAAATTATTTGCAATCTTGTTTGCTTTTTATTGAATTGTAGATCTACTTAAAGATACACTGGAAGTGCACATATGGTTCAACCATTCTAGAAGTAAAGTTTCGATAACTTCATATTTAGCACAGCAAAGTCATTTAGATTTGTAGCTGGAACCCAATTTAGCAGCCTTAAGATTTAACATTAGTCGTACTAGCTGACTTTTAAAGAACAGAAAAGCATATTTGAACACAGAATTGCATTTGTTGATTGAAGCTCATTTTTAATGCAGTTAAAGCCCATTCTTGGCACAAATGCAGCTCATTTCTGACGCGATAATCACGACTGTCAAGCAAAGTTATTCCTGCTGGCTATGTTTTAAACAATACAAGGTATTCTGTGAGGTTTTCAATTAAATGGGATGGCACACACCTGAATGCATCAACAGACAAAGAACAGGAGAGAAACATCTGAAAAACTTTGAAAATTCATGTTAAATGAAAAATTCTAATAAAACAAAGGGTTAAAAAATAGTTTGCAATTTGTGCTAGCCAAAATCTGCATTAATTGATAAAACATTTTATAAGATCAGGTAAGTACATTGCTGACAGAACTGAAATTTTGTTTACGACAACCAAGTGTTCAATTTAGGAGAATTTGTGTTAAGTAGGGTTACTGTAGTAGATTTTGAAAAAATTTAATATAACAGCTGCACATAATCATTCTGCTATAATAATAATTTATTTAATTTACCATGAATTTCAAATGAAATTAAATGAATAATAAGTGTTTAGAAACATCCACGAACTCAGTTAATACACAATAATTTATATGTTCATTATTACGGATGCCAGTTGTTTGAAATTAATCAATTTCTTGACTTATTTAATAATTTCAAACAACTGGCGTCCGGTAACAGGACGGAATGGCTATTTGAAGAAAACAAAACATCGATTTTGTATTGGAATTTATCAAGTGAGTTTATGATTTATTTGATTATATCCTTTATTATTTGAATATATTGGACATATTGAATTTAAAATCATGGAAATTTTATTAAGAAATCGTAATCCACTAAGGGAATCGTTTACGATTACTGCCAGTGCTTTAGATGCTGAAATTCTAAAGCCTGACGTGGAGGTTAATCAACTCTAAGTATTGAGCTCACAGTTGGAAGGAAAATTCAACAGATTAGATGAAGTTCAATCACAAATTTCCGAACTTTTGTTGAAAAGTGAAAACGAAGGTGACTATTTGGCTGATTTTGACACGAATGAAACATATTGTGATAAATATCTCAGTTTAAAAACAAAATGGTTAATTCCACTATGACAAATTTCAATACCTATTACAAGCAACGGTCGTTGGATCTCCAGCGAGAGAGCTCATAGATAGCTATCCTCCCTCTGGCGCGAATTATAAAGAAGCTATCAAGCAGCTGAAATCTCGATTTGCACGAGACGAATTACTTGTAGAAATCTATGTTTCGCGAATTATTAAAGTCCAGTTTTGGCTCAAGCTAGCAAAATATGGAAATATGACTTCTATCCAATTTATATGATAAGTTAGAGATGCAACTCAGAGCTTTGGAGACGTTGGGGGTAAAAAGTGAGATTTATGCAGCTATGCTGTATCCCCTTGTAGAGTCTTCACTACCTGAAGAAATTCTGAGGGCATGGGAGCGATCTCGCCAGCGTAGGGAAAGTGTGGCACACACTGAAAATTTGGAAAATTTATTGCATTTCTCCGAATTGAAGTTGAAAGTGAAGAGCGTCTTCAGTTGGCCGTACAAGTTTTTCTGCTCCAGACAAATTGACTCGGTTCCAGCCACAGCAGCTTGTATTTATGCAGGAGATTCAAAGAAGAAACAGCTTAATTTTTAAGTTTGGTGTGACAAGGAAACACATAATTCTTATGAGTGCTTTAAGCTGCAGAGCCTTTCATTGGAAGATAAGAAAAATTTACTAAGAAACAAAAAAAGCTTGTTTTAACTGTCTAAAAATTGGGCATGCTGCCGAAAAGTGTAAAAGTTCTGTGAAATTCCTAGTTTGCAACAAACGTCATGTAACGGTGATGTGCAGAGAACTAAAAGGTTCTAGAAGTTCAAAAAAGGAAGCACCTAAAGGACCTAACGAAATGAGTGAGACTTTATTGTCTAACCAAAAACTGCAAACAACCCTTCTCCAAACTATTATGAAGATTGTCCATAATGGAAAAAAGGAGCTTGTGAGAACGCTTTTTGACAGTGGGTCACAAAGATCTTACTTACGGAAAGACATAATAAAAAGACTAGATTTAGTCCCATTAGATCAAGAGACTTTGAGCCACAATTTGTTTGGTGGAGTTGAAACTGAATCTCAGGTCCATGGTATTTTTGATATCGAAATTACAAGGAACGGAAAATAAATTCAAATACGAATTATCGGTTTTAGATAAAGACAAAATTTGTGGATACATTCCTAGAGTGAAACTCAAACACATATGCTCCTC